TCGCCCTGATGACGGAGGCAGTATGACCTCTGAAACGTTGGTTAACATCGACCAGACTACACAGCGCAACAACCCAGAAGACAGAAATCTTCATACTCACTGTTGTGAAAACCTCAAATCTTACATGTTATACGCTGCTTTCTACCTGTACACAGATATGTATACATTTTTATCACACAACATAATTTCTTTTTGGAATATAAAAGATAACAGTATATAAGAAAGGGGACTATAGCAAAATTTTAAAAATGTCATAAAGTCTTACCTGATTATTGGTTTTTCCAGAAAACATTATTTTCCCAGTATACAGTTCATAAATGGTACAACCAGCAGACCACATGTCAATACCAAAATCATACGGAATGCCTAAAACTAAAAACAGCATGTTACATTAAAATGGCCATTCAATTAAAGGATTAAGTAATGTCATTTTATCCTCAAAACTAAGAACTCCTAACAAGTCTCTTGCCCTCATGCACTGCTTTTCTAAAATAAGGTAATTATAAGACAAAATCAGAACTCATTATGGGGGTCAAGTTAATATGTATGTATATGAATAAAAATCACAAAAATTACAAATACATCAAATACCCATATTATATTTACAAAACACTTTTTTACAATCTCATAACTGCTTAAAACTGAGGAATATTGGCACAACTGTTGCAATCACACTCAAAATATCATTTTTAAGAGCATGGCAGCCACATGACATTTATATAATTCTTGGCAACAGATAGCAGCACTAAAGCATAATTTTGTAGTGTATGGTAACGCATAAATATAAACTAAAGTTCAATCCTTCAACCCAAGGGTTAACGAACTGTATACTACAGAAAACACAAAAATAATAAAAGTAAGTGGTTCTTTGTTGTACAAAATGCAGTACCCATTTCTGAAGTTGTGTAGCATCTAATCTAATTGTGAACAATAATTACAAATGTCGCAGCAAAAGCTGATGAAAAATTGTGGCTAGGCTCTGTCCCCCAGCTGGGACATAAACTGTGGGTCTCTCAAATGCACTACCCCAAAAAATAAATAAAAAAAATACAAAAACAACTCAACAAGTCCAGACTACGCAGAAAGCACTATATGTAGGAAATATCTGCAATGCTTACTGTTTGAAAGCATCACACACTATTTAAGTGGACACTATATTTTGCTTACTATATCTGTACAATTTTTTAGTAAATAGTACTCATCCAGAATCTAGCTTTATAATAAAAGTAACTGCTTCTGACGGCCCACAAACAACAAAATGTTCTTGACTGAAACAAATTATCAGTGCATGAAATTCAATACTAATATTGTTTTCCCAATGCTGAATTTGTTTTATTTCAGCATCCTTATGCAAAAAGCAATTTATGTTAACTTACTTATTTCTGGAGCCCTATAGAAACGGCTCACTAGATAGGGGGTTATCTCATTTTCAGCCACATGTGATGCTGATCCAAAATCACAAAGTTTGAGAACGAGTTTATTCTCACTGACCTAAAGTTCAAAAAACACACATCAGGAACAAGAATGTTAGGGTATGATGATGATGATGATCTGGGTTTTGGCACCATGTAGATTCATCAGTAGATGCCAACATTTTGGATAAACATACTGTCTCCACGTATAAAGTGAAGCTTTCACGGTGACCGAAGTTCATGAAAGACTCTCGGGTTACAAGCCGCGTCAGGTAGCTGAATGGTGAATAAACCACATCTTCTGAAGATATTATAACCCGAAAGTCTTTCATCAACATGTTGTCTCCACCTTAAGGGTTGAAGATAGAGACATAATGTTTCTATGAAATACTGGCATCTACCAATATGGCTACATCGCACATCATCATCCTCACTGCTGCAAAAACCTTAAATCTCACATGTTATGGTATGACCACACAGAAAGCAGGTTGCTTGGAAGCGAATGACAGCCACGTGGAAGGAATGTGAGCAAAACAAAACAACAAAAATCATACACATATGATTATGCAGAAACACACTCACACACCTGCCTCAAAGCCCTCTGTTATCTGCTCCTCTATCAGAACAAACATGTTAGTTAAAATGCTCATTACTTAGAGGAATACTGTTAAAACCAATAGTGTAAACCCTTGTGTAGTTATACTAAGTGACACTACATTATAATGCAAATTCTAATCAGCATTGTATAAGAAGATTGTAGAATCCAAGCCACAATTTACACAAAAAATCTGTAGTTTTCATGAAAGATGGGAGGAAGTCACTAAAGCAATGGGAAAGGGTAATGAAATTATTAGTTTAATAACCAACTTCCATATCAGCAAGTCATGTAGGATATGATATACATTTGTTCCTAATATGTTACAATTATTCAGAACACATTAATAGTGTATTGCAGCATTGTAAATTAGTATATTTTCAAGGAAAGCATTATCATTTTGCCATGTTAAAATGATTCAAAAATATTTCTGACACTCTGGGCATAAGTTGAAAATTTATTTTATGCTGGCTAAGAATAAATTTATTTAAATCTCTACTTGAGTAACTTCAGTCAGGTTCCTCATGTTCCTAAACAAAATTATAAATAATGCATATGGTTTTAACAACCGAGGTTGTATTACATCCGTCTCAACACATTTAAGCAAAATTAGCCCCTTAGTAACATTATTCCAAAAGAACATTCTACACTTCTTTGAGCCCTACATAACCAGTGGTCAAAAACAATGTTCCTCAGGGTACAACTTTCTTGCTAAGAATGGCCTCATTAAACAATGTAGCAATGCATGCTCCACAGCTGCTAGTAATACTACTTGGTACTTCACTCTGACATCCTAGACTACCTACGTCAACAGTAATCAGTTCACAATAATATATCTTCCATGCACACGAAAACTCTACCTGCACTCCAAATTTTAAGGACTTCAATAATTCAGGAGTTAGAACAAACAAGTCTTTCTTTGGATTCTTCAGCTAATGTGTCCAACATGAATCCTCCACCAGAAAACACTACATTAACATGAATGGATCATTGCTAGATAGTTTGAGATACTGATACAGCATTGTTAAATAAACTATAAATTTGAGGGTAGCTGTGAATATACAGAATAAGCAGTTGCTGACAGTCAACATGGAGGGTGGGTCCTCCACATTGTGAGGGGGACAAATCCTCACCGCAGAAAAACCAGCATGTTAAGAAATGTTACACAGTGCCCTGCACTTGTGGGATCTTCTGAACACAACAATCAACCTTCAGAGCCAAGTCACTCAAGACGTTCCAGACATTTTATGGAACACAAAGGTTCATTACCATGTTCACAAGAACTTGCCATTAGTCTCTATCATGAGTCATATGAATCCAGTCCACACCAAACCAACTTTTTTCTTTAAGATCCATTTTAATATTATCCTCCCACATGTCTCAGTCTTCCTAGGGGTCTCTTTCCTTCTGATTTCCCCACCCAAATCCTGTATGCATTCTTTTTCTCTCCCATGCAGGCTACATGCCCTGCCCATCTCATCCCCTTTGACATGATTAGTCTAAATATATTTGGCAAAAAGTACAACTTATAAAGCTTGTCATTATTCAACTTTCTCCAGCCTCCTCATAATTAAACCCTTATAGGGGTCCAAATATTCTCCTCAGCCCCTTCTCAAACACCCTCCCTCAGTTTACATTCCTACCTCATTGTCAGAGACCAAGTATCACACCCATAAAAAACTAAAGACAAAATTATATTATCATACGTTTTAATCTGTATATGTTTTTATAGAACAGATAAAAAACAAAAGGTTCTAAAATGAATGGCAGCAAGCATTACCCAAATTTAATCTGCTCTTAATTTCCTCACAAATCAAATTTTGATTTGTTACTGTCAGTCACAGGCTACGGGCTGGACGGCCGGGGTTCGATCCCCGACGGGGGCAGAGGATTTTTCCTCTAGCCTCTGCGTCCAGACCGGCTCTGGGGCCCACCCAGCCTCCTCTACAATGGGTACCGGGGTCCTTTCCCGGGGGTAAAGCCGGCCGGGGCGTGATGCTGACCACTCACCCCCATCTAGTGCCGAGGTCAAGGAAGAGAGGAGCTATACCTCCTCTCACCCCAAACGCCTACATGGCGTATAGTGGGACAAACTTTACTTTACTTTTTACTGTCAGTCACAAATATTTAAAATTTGCCACATTCTCAAATGACCCATTAGCTATCTTTATGTTATGATTTTGCCCTGTATTCTAATGACAAGATGTCAACATATACTTAGTTTTCTGTGTTTACCAACTTCCTTACTAGTGCCACAGCACGTATTTTTCTTCATGGTATTTATGTTATCCCCCAACAGATTTACATCATCAGCACAGACCAGAAGCTGATGTGTCCCATTCAATTGCAGTCACACCTGATTTTCCTAGACCTTCCTAATGGTGTATTTTTAAGCAAAGTTGAAAAGCAACAGCGATAAAGCATCTCCTTGTTTTAGACCATTTTGAACAGGAAACGTGTCAAACGTTTACCTACATAAACTTTACTATAAGGTTTCATTCAAACACATTTTAATATGAAATAAACCTTCAGGTTCCATAAAATGTGGGGAATTTCTTGACTTGCTCATATACCATCAGCTTCTCAAGAAGTGTGACTGGTGATATCCATTTGCATTTAGAACTTGTGACTATATTTCTGCGCATCTTTATATAGATGATAAAACTCTCTTAATGAATACTGACTGCGCACCCAATACAAATCAGAAGAAAATTCCCAAAGCCTTTTTGCTGTTCTTTCCAGGAATACGATATTTCTGGATATCTTCGAGAAAGACATTCTTTCTTTTTATAGACACTGACAAACACACTACACATAAGATGTAGTAGTCGCTTTCTTCCTCCTACACTCCATATATTCTGCTATGTCCAACCTCCAAGCAACACACCTGCAGTACAGCCACACAAAAGTAACACAGATACTGACAGAGCAGAGTCAAGTGAAATTATTTCAGTCTAATAAGACATGTACACAAAATTTAAAAATGTAAAATACAGAGTTTGTTAACATTTACAGTTGTATTTTAAACATTTTTAATGTGATGAATATCTTAAAAAAGCAAGTAATGTAGTACGACTCTATAGAAAGGGAAGCTTTCACAGCGACTGAACTTGATGAAATACTCTTGGGCTATGGGCAGAAGATATGGTTTATTCACCATTCAGCCACCTGACGTGGCTTGTAACCCGAGAGTCTTTCATCAACTAGTACGACTACCTTTACAGCAATGCGTTTCTTTCTGTAATAAATGAACATTACTGCCAACATGACAAAAAACATTGCAAAGAACGCATTTAGAAAAAGAGTCCAAATTGGAATATAGCTCCAGTAATAAAATAAATTGTTTATAGAATCAATTGTTACTTTTAAAACAAACCAATTACTCAAATTCCACATCCTTCATAAAATGTGTCTTTGTTGCAGCTGAATACAGGAGTATGAATACTAACCAAAATGTTATCTGGCTTGATATCTGCATGAAGAATATTAGCCTTCTTCAACAGCTTCAGAGCCAGAAACAACTGCTGACTGTATGATCTCACAGCTTTCACATGTAATCCAACATCCTTCCCATATTTCTTCAGAACCTGGAAAAAAGTAAAACAATGACTGAGGGGAAAATAAAGCAAAAGACACCCCTGCACTAAAAGCATGGATAATGATCACTCAAAATTTCAAACAATGTGTAAACTCTTTTCTGAGATCAGTTAGACTGTAGCTTGACTTCAATGGAAGTTTCTAACTGCACATACAAAGAAACTTCATGCTGGCTAACATTATGGCTTATTACTGAAAAATCATTTTTAATTTGTGCTACTACTTTACATGAACAACTGAGTTAGAAAATACTGACATTTACAATTCTTAACTCATAAAAAAAATCCTCTGCACACTTCATACCTGTAAAACCTTTGGTTAGAAACTATCCTTCAAGAAGAAAATCAAAAGAACAAATTTTATACTTTAGAGATATTGAAGATACATTTACTTTTTACCTCAACTGTATTCAAATAAACTCAACCAAACTTACATAAATCAAAACCTACAAGCAACTCTCCTCTTTATTAACTGAAATAAAAGATGACAAAAGAAAATCTGATTGCTTTCAGAAGTGTTTATTTTCAGATCCCAATTTTTTTTAAATCTATTAATCTATCCATTTGGTTTTCTCTTCCATACCAGTACTTCTTAATGTCATCTCCACTGCCACTGGTCTACTAATATTTACATTAATTTCTACCCAACATATTAATATGGGCAAATAGTAACTTTTAAATAGGCATATTTCATGCCCTTCTTAGGCATTTCTCATTTCCAGATTACATCCCTCACTAGTAGGTAAACTTTTCTGACATATGAGGTGCGATCGGAAAGTTTCAAGACTGCGCCTATAAAAACCCGTACACTTATCTCAGGTATTAAATTCATCCATCACCTCGAAGTAGTTCCCCTGGGAGTGAACATAACAATCCCAGCACCGCTGCCAAGCCTGGAAGCATCCCTGGAAATCTTTCTTTGTCAGCCTGTCAAGCACCATCTGCGATTCTGCCTGAATCTCTTCTATCGTCTCAAATCTCCTTCCCTTTAGCTGAATTTTCATCTTTGGGAAGAGGAAGAAGTCACACGG